AGCTCCTGGCCCTGGCTCCCAGATTAGGGGCAGGGGATTTGGAAAGAGCTTCAGGGGAAAAACAGGTCCTACTCCCTTACCCCAATCTGCTGGTGAGGCAACAAGCTAGCTGCTAGCTTCCCCACTGGTAGATCGAGGCAGAAGGCTTGGGACCTTGATTGTGACACGGGGCTGGGACCTGCCCCGACCAGGACAGTTCCCAGCTGCCACCCTGCATGCAGGACAGGGACTGGGGAGCTTGTTTCCCGCTCAGCTCCATGAGTGTGGAGCTGAGGGGGGGAAACACTGGGGAGCTTGTTTCCCCTGCCCCCCAACTTCATGAGCATGGAGCTGGGGGGGAACACTGTGGGGAGGGAGACTGTGATGAACATCTCCCAGCAACAGCCCTATGGTCCTAGAGCCACTGCTAGGAGATAAGGGTCTCCCAGCAACAGCCCCACAGTCCTAGAGCCAGTGCTGGGAGATAAAGGCCTCTGAGCCCCGCATTCCCTAATTGCAGTTGTGGAGCAAGGACTAGGAGATGAGGATCTCCTGGCCCCCACTCCCCAGTAATGATCTTGGAGCAGGGGGCTTGGAGTTCCCTGCTGCCAGGACAGGGGACATAGTCCCTGCCCAGGCTCCAGTGGCAGAGCCTGTCCCAGCAGCAGGCAGCTCCTGGGGGCAGGAAGCTATCTCCCACCCACTGGTGGATGGCTGACGGGAAGCAGATTTTGCTCCTGGCCAGGCACCTACACAAGCACTATGGTGCCATTACTACTCGAGTAAATTTTCTACTTTCATTTGCAGGTAACAAATTTACTCACTACTAGGGAGGTTTACTGAATAGTAAACGTGCATGTGTAGATTTACATGCTTACTTCACTAATGAGAAGTTAAGCATCTAATTTAGACATGTGCAGTGTGTCTTAAGTAGTAGGGACAATAACTACAACCTTCAGCTACTAGTTGATTTTTGTTGTGCTCAGCTGAAATCTCTATGCAGCATCTAGCCAGCTGAGCAGAGCACAAGCAACAGAATAGCAGGAGCTCGAACTAGCAAAGTGGGATGAATTCAGAGATTCTTTGTTGCTCAGCCTTTGAGGAACCTATAGAGGTGGATTAAGACTTATTAGGGCCCTGGGTCATTTGAAAATTGGAGTCCCCCACACCTCATTATAAACATGAATGTATCATGCCACTCCTCCCCTGAAGCAGGGCCCCAGGTCCTGGGAGCTGGACTCCAGTGAGGGGAAGAGCCCCTTCTCCTCCTGGTGCTGCCAGGGTAGGGCAGGCCTTTGTGCTTCATGGGGGTGGCTGAATTGACCCGACCGGGGGTTGAGTGGCACATGCCCACCTCTGCTCCCTGGCCCCTCTCCCCCCTGCTATGGCCAAAGCTGAGCAGAGCAGGGCAAGAGCAGATGCAGGCTGCTTGCTGTGGGCTTGGCGCTCTCCACCCTGCTGCCTTTGCCCCAGGAGCTCCATGCCAGTCACGCACCCCCTTCCCGTCCAGCAGCAGAAGGTGCAATTTGATGCCCCCCTGCTGCCAGGGGGGCAGGGGGAGCATGATTGGTGCAGGGGTCCTGAGGGAAAGGCAACAGAGAGCCCGAAGCCCACAGCGAGCAGCCCGCATCTGTCCCACGCACAAATATGGGGGGGTACATGCCCCCCCAGCCTTTCCCCCTGCCACCCCTGGACAAGCTGCCCATGGCTCTGTCCCACTCCCTGCCCTGACCTCAGGTCCAATGCATCACCCTGGCTGGGCAGCACCCCCCACTCCTGCCCCACTCCCTCCCTCACCATGGGGACCTCAGTCTGCTCCCGCTCCCTCGCCCTTTCCCCTCCACAGATTTACCTGCAGGGAGTTGCTCTCCATGCTGCCCTGCTCTTTTTCTGGCATGTGCATGTGTGTGGCCGTGCACATATACACGGCACCCCCTGCATCTCACTCCAGGCAGCCGCAAGCAGGACCCCTTGCAGACTAAAATGCTTCTCGTCTACCCCCGCCACTTCCACATCCACACACACTTACAGACTTGACACAGCAATGGTAACAGGAGCCTCCAACATCCTTAACAGCAGAACACCCGAGTGGGAGTATCAAACAGCAGGTCTCTGGGAGCAAGGAGCATATTTGGATGAATATTTGGGCATGCATCCAAGAAATAAGTGAGATGGAGCATTCCTAAGGAGTAGAAGTGCTAGTGGTGGGAAGGAATTTCCTGAAGATTGTTCAAGAGGAGAGAATCAAGTGGATTGAAAGAACAATAGGCAAATAACCAGAGATAGGGAGAGAATTACTGAAATGAGAGCAGAGAAATAGGAAAGAGGGCAGGGACAGAGGCAGTTGAGGGGAGAGAGGAGGAGGAAGAAAATTGCAAATCAAAAAGCAAAATGTTTTTTGAGGAGGAAAACACAAATTAAAGCGGAGTGTGAAAATGGTCTACAGTGTGCCAGCAAATGTAGTAAAAAGATGGTTGAACAGCATAAACTGAAAGAAGATCAAGAGAGTGTAATTGAATAAATTATACCTGCACCAGGCGCAGCAGAGTTTTTCTTTCCTCACGCTACAGTTTTCAGCTTGGCACCCTGTCATGCAGAGCCAGATAAGAATTTCAGTAGAGGGGTGCATTAATGTACATTTGTGTGTGTGATTAATATGTCTAATGCAGATTGTCATCCTATTCCTTCCCTATGGATACACAGATACCTAAACAAGTCAAATGCTCTGGGAATGCTGTCAGGTTTACACAGTCCCTTGTCTGATCACCTTTGGCAAACAGACACTATTAAGGTGGTCTGGATTACAATATCCAGAATCGGATTACATGAGCTCCCTCTGCTCCCCCAAGCACTTATTTATGCACCATGGCAACACAACAAAATAATTGATAATGCTGGAGAGGCTTGTTTGATGTTTTGTTGTTTCACTTCCAGATGGTCTGTCTACATTAGAAGGGTCTGGATTTAGTATATGCAACCAGACAGAGAAGTGTTATGACCTGATGACCAGTAGACCTTTCCTAATTACACCAAAATTTCCACATCTTAATTGGTTCTTTCTGAAGCCTTGAATATACTCATGCTTTTATTTGTATTTAAGTAGTTCTCAAACATAGTTACAGGCAAACACAGCTATAGTAGCTATAACACCCCAAAATGCTATTCCAGACACACTTGCTACTAAGTTCAGAAGCTATGTTACATTCTTGATTCTATGTTGCCTGGAACATGGCTGTCTTTTAACATGTGACCCTCTCAGCATCACAGAAGTGGAAAGGGATCTCAGAGTCATAGTGGACTCCAAGATGAACGTGAGTTGCCAGTGTGATGAAATCATCAGCAAAGCTAACTGCACTTTATCATGCATCAGCAGATGCGTGACAAATAGATCCAAGGAGGTGATACTTCCCCTCTCTGCAGCACTGGCCAGACCGCAGTTGGAGTACTGCATCCAGTTTTGGGCGCCGTACTTCAAGAAGGATATTGATAGACTCAAGAGGGTCCAGAGGAGGGCCACTCATATGGTTAGGGGCTTACAGGACAAGCCCTATGAGGAGAGACTGAGGGACCTGGATCTCCTCAGCCTCCGCAGGAGAAGGCTGAGAGGTGATTTTGTGGCTGCCTACAAATTCATTAGGGGAATGCAGCAGGGGATCAGAGATGCTCTGTTCACCAGGGTGCCTCTTGGGGGGTACCAAGGAACAATGATCACAGACTGACAGAGATTTAGGCTAGATATCCAGAGTAACTTCTTCACGGTAAGGGTGGCCAAAATTTGGAATGTGCTTTCAAGAGAGGTGGTGTTCTCCCCTACCTTGGGGGTCTTTAAGAGAAGGCTGGGGTCATCTGACCCAAGCACTCTTTCCTGCCCAGGCAGGGGGTTGGACTCGATGATCTGTTGAGGTCCCTTCTGACTCTAGCATCTATAAATCTATGAATATCTATCCATACTAGATACTGAAACTGGAAAAACTTATTAACCAGAAGCCTTTCTGAATAAGGTACTAATCATGGATATTTTTTGCTCAAGTCTATAGAAATTCTAAGTGACCCAGTGTCATCTGAGATTCAGAGGTAGGCTGATCATTGACTGCATTGACAATAAGCCACTATGAAAAAAAACTCTTGATCTGCCAGAGATGAAAGTAATCAGATATTGCTCACATACATTGAAAATATTTCCCAGATGAATGATCCCAGACATTCATTAGTAAGCTTCAAATGGATTGGATAGTATTTGTTTATACATTGCAAGAGAATTCTGGATCACAGGTTGCTTGATCAGTCAAACTTGAACCAAAAATTGAGACTAAGGTAATGCAAGGCCTTGGACATTTTCATGAAAATTCATTATTCTGAAATAGGTGGAACTAGTCAATGCCAAAATCTAACTAGAGAGAGAGAGTCCTCAAATCGCAACCCTGAATAATAATTTGAGTTCATATCCAAGCTCCCGTTTTGAATGTCAGACTATACTTGGCAAATCTGAATGGTAAATATAAACTCTTCAGAATATTCAGAGACCTGAGATATCCAGGATTCTCTCTTCCTACTGCACCCCCCTCCATTATTGTGATGTGAAGTTTAAATCCGGGCTAATCACTTTGGGGGGCTGCTAATGCTGACAGCATTGTATGTAATGCTGGTTATGTACATAACCTTGTCAGTGTTGTAGTTTTAGCAGCCCCCAAGCTGACTAACTCCTTTCATTTTAAAGTTTCTGACAGTCACTTTGGTGTCTGCTATTAGTAGCCTTGAAAATGAGAGAGATGGCAGGGACCAAACTGACTAGCTCCTGTCATTTTCAAGGCTTCTAATTGCAGCTCTTTTGTAGCTGCTTCTCCTTCAATGTTTCTGGTGAAGCTAGAGGGAGTACAATCAAGTTTCAAGTATACAGTGGGACTGAAAAATGCTATGGATTACTGTGGTTTATACATTTAATCAGTATTCAGATAATCAGTGTTTGCAGAATTTAATAGGCACTGTTAAGTTTCTAGCAGAAGCCTTGAAAATGAGGGAAATTTGGTTTCATGGTTGCTAATATCACAGCACTGTGGACTCTAAGAAGTAACTGTTGTTTATATTGCTTGGGTAAATGCATATTCTGAGTAAGTATAATATAACCTGGTTTTCACTCCAAAATCATTTAAAAGAAATACAAACCCAGAGTGTACAGTTCAATGCCTGCACTTAACACCTGGTTTCTATGCTGAGGTTAATTCTCAGAAAGGTGTCATAATGTCTTTGCGCAGTATGGATAGTGCACAGTACTGAAGGACAGAGAGACCTAAAGGAAGCAGAAAAAGAAAACAGACCCAAGACGAGAAACTAAAGATGTGGCCAGTAGCTAAGATGGTGATTGCTGCAATTGGAGCAAATCTAACCATGCATGCACGCTTTGAAAGCACACAAGCAAAAATGGGAGGATGTATTACAGATCTTATAAACTGACCAAACCCATGAAGAGAGGAACTAGAGGATTTAAAATTTAGAAGATGTAACGGGAGACAAAGTAAGTAAATAGGATACAGGAGACTGACAGTGCTTGTACAGTACAACTGAAGGTGTCATTGCAGGGTGGGTAGTACTAAATTTAATCTTGCTACCTCAGGAACCAATAGGAGTGGGCAAGGGCACAGACTTCATTTGATTAACTTCCCAAATATGTACTTGGGGTGTTTGGGACTTGTACAATGCACACCTATGTCCATGTCACTGTGTTCACTGTACCTGCGCTAACTAGTTTAAAGCTAGCTATGCCTACTCATGGTGTAATGTAGTCATATTCTATACTTAGGGGATCTTCACAGCCAAGGTCATTATATGTTTATAAAAATGATAGACCTTCTTGAAGGCACAGAGGAGGAAAATGTTATTGCTTTTTGTTTTATTTTGTTTGGTCACAAGCTATGTTGGGAATGGGAATTGATTTGTGTGCCTTAACTGTATGTATTTTTAGTTTCATGTGTTTGGATGTCTTTGGAGTATGACCTGGATCTGCTAACTTTGTAACGCTTGGCTTTGGAACAACTACAACGTATCTGCAACACTTTTATGCTTATGTTATTGATGCGTGTTTTTAATATTAAATCATTTTAGTGTAATATTTATCAATATTAAATAATTTTAGTGTAGTCTACAGGCTTTTTGCCTGTAATTGAACACAAAGATAGAGATTTGCTCTGTTACTCCCCACATGGTGGTGTCCCTCTATTTACCTTGAAAGCAATTTAGAAAAAGGACCATCTATGAAAATGAACGCACAGTTGGTGTTTAACAACTAACTGTATTCACTCTTTCAGAATACAACACCAAATGGCAAACAAGTCTGGTTGCCAGAATCTGAGTCGGTAACGTGTTCACACTAAAATGCTAAAAAATGTTGTTTTCCAGGTTTGAATAGGAATTTGTCTACGCTGTGTCAATGGTGAGTATTAGGGATGATGGGACTTAGCACATCCTGCATACCTGAATCCACTTATGCACCTCAGAGCATGATGTTCACCAGTGAGACTGCTCCAGAATAGTCAGTATGCAGACTCCATTGGGTAGGCAGGCACGGTGTGCTCAGTCCTGCCTTTCCTGGGACCCACTGCTGACACAGACAAGCCTTAAAAGAGAAGAAGAGGAATTGACATAACCTGCTCAGCTGGCCTAATATGCTCTTGGTCCTGGTGTAGATCATTGTCACTCAGTCTTTCATCTTAACTACAAAGAAAATATGACAGAAATCACAGTCTTGCATTCAGGAGTATTAAGAAACACCAAGGGATGTGCTGTCTCTGAAATTTAAGTGCCAGCAAATTGTTGGGTGAATTATGCAACTTGATTCTTGTCAAGAGTTCCCTCTGCCTGGCTGGTTGTGGAGGGAAGTGTCCTCGTTTAGAGGAGCTCTGAAACAGCAAAATGCTATGCCTCTGGTATTTGGTTATATACAATACCAATGAACTCCTAGATAGGTCCACATAATCACTAGGAAAAAAATGGCGTGTTTTTAGATAACCTTCCTTCCATTGCGCATTTAACACTCTTTCCCACAACAATGAAAAAAAGGATGCAAACTGCAGAAGTATCCAGCATGACCAGAGGGGCTAGACTTGCAAACCATATTACCCTTTTCATAAAAACCATCAACCATTAAAACAGTAGCTTTTCAAAAAGGGAAGTTACTTAGGAATAGCTACATTCCAGAACAAGTGACAGGTGAATAATCCTGGTATAGTGAATTGCTTGTGGTAGTATTGCTAACATATGGCAATTTTAAACTTCTGAATAAGGCACCTCTCGTAAATGCTTATTTGAGAACTCAGTAATTGTTTTTCATTACTGGTAAATTGAACTTGAACTGGAAACCTGAGATGCAAAAATCTAGTGCAGGTGATCGTTAGTGAAGGCTTCATTGTAAGGAAAAACAGAATAAGGGAAGTCAGTACCGTAGGTACACTTTTTACCCAACTCGCTTGGTTTTTCTTTTGTTCTTTTTTTTTTTTTTTTATGATTCCTCCTGCCTTCCATTTCAAGGTAAAGGTGAGGGGAATTTCTGTGGCCTGGGAAGATATAATTTCTCTTTCTGTGAATATTGTTATCATCATAGCTTGTTTGTTACATCACCCTGTTTTTTCTTGCCTTAAACTTCCATTATAAGGGCTAAATATACACATGGGACTTAGGTTCAGAATTGTAATAAGCCTCACTGAGGAATCTGAAATCCTGAATTAGGCACCCAGACTCCCCACGCATTGTTTCAGGAGAGTTGGGTACTACAAATGAAATGCATGGAATCCAGCATGCTGAGCAGGGTTACTGCCTATGGTAGCCATTCGGAAATGCTGAGAAGGGTGTGCCCTAGATCCCACGTTTATGGAGAATCCTCACTTTGGGCTGCAGGGAAGCATCTAATCTCCTGAACCTGCTGCTGGAGGTAGCTGTGTCTATCAGGCCTTCTTTATAAAACCAACTTAGAATAGGGATGAGAAGTAGTATGCTTTTTCCCTCTAAATTAGGACTGGCTAAACTTGACTATTTTACATACGGTATTTGAAAATTGGAGCAGGAACAAGAATGCAGCCCTTTTCCTCACTTAAGTACCTTAACTACTGAGCTGTAGGGTCATGCTTCCACTTGCTTCCTCTCCGGTCTAATGCATATATTTAATAATCCCAAGGAAAGCAGAACAGATTCAATAAGACGATCTGAGAGAGTTTTACCCCAAAATTCTGTACTGTCTGGTGGATTCTCCTGGGAGGCAAACCATGTGGATTCACATCTCCTCAGGAACAGGACAGAACAGGACAGAATCCGAGTCTCCCTGTTCCTGCTTGAATAATATAACCATTCAGGTATTGGATAAAGGATGGGAGGATGACACCACCCCCTTTTCTGATGTTGATCACATTGTGTTTGGGACCTGATCTGGCAAGTGTGTCCTGACAACAACTACTGGGTCAGGCCTTGCAGGTGCCAGAGAAAAGAATAAGCTAGTGAATGGATCCCAACAGGGCTTCAGCACCCAGTTGCTCGGTACTGTCGAGACTCAAGTGGTTCTGGGAATCTCTTCACTGATGGACACTTGAGTACTTAGGGACAGTAGTCCCCTCCGGTGTTAGCAACAGTTGAGCAGGAGTACTGAGGCCCTATATTTTGGACATGGGTGCCTACAGGAACACTTGGATGCCATTTAAAGCTTAAAGCCTTTCATGGATCTAGCCTACAGTCACTACTCTACATTTAACATCTCTGAACTTAAACACAGGATGTATCCTGAGTCTTCCTGTGCACAGTTCTTTCTAAACATACTATGGCAGGTCCTACCTATGTCATACTACAGCAGAGGCGGGGAATTAATTTGGGTGGAGGGCTGCTTACTGAGTTTGGCAAGCCATTGAGGACCGCATGACAGGCAGCCAGGGGAAGATAAATACTAATTTTCTAAAATTTTTAGGGGCCCCACGGGCCAGATAGAATGGCCTGGCAGGCTGCATCTGGCCTGCAGGCTGCATTTTGCCCACCCCTGTACTACAGCAAGGCAAAAGTAAAACAGTATTTAATGTATAACCTTCAGCTGTAAATTCCTTTGGTGCTTTGTCTTCACACTTGTCCTTGACTCCCCACACAAAGAAACATCATGACCATATGTCCAAAACAATGTATGATAGGAATATTGAAAAAGGAGCAGATTTGGCAAACTAAGAGCACCCTAGAAATACGAAGTTTCAGTTAAATAAACCATTTTCACTTCATTTGAAAAAAAAAAATCACAGTAGTTAAGGGAAAACTACTCTTTTTGTTTCTCTGAAATGCTTTCAAATGTGTGCTATGTATATATTCTATAGTACCGGGCTTGTTTTCTTTTTTTTTTTTTATATTTAAATACAGTCCTTTCCTTCTCCCCCCAGCCCCAACAGAATACTAGGTAAATAGCATGCAGCGAATGGCTCAATATGCTAATTTCTGTTTGATTGTATTAGCCTCCTGCCCTCTTGTGATGAGAATTCAAGCCTCAACTGCAAATTCAATGTCCTAATGAGATTATAGTGAAGTTCTCAGTTTGAGCCTGTACGGCAGCAAAGGGAAGGGAGAGGAGAACATGTTTCCTAGGTGACTAGCTAACTGAGTTGTTAACCCTGGTAAGAAAGGGTAGAGCTGGTTTGAGTGGCAGTGCTGCACTACACATCAACTGCTTGCATAGTAAAGTAAAAACAATGAAAAGCAGTGACATGGGGAAATTACACATTTTGTTGCATCTGTCTCATCTCAGTGGAAGGGATATAGGATAAAGGGCCTCAGTTTGTGGTAATGATCTTTAAAATGGCCAGATAAATACAAAGCTATGGAAACTTCTGTACCATCTACTAAACATTATGTTCAGATAACTTTCAATATTGTTTTTCCTCTTGTTCATGCAGTTTTTTTTCTTTAATCCATTTTCTATTATTTTAATCTTATTTCTTAAGTGCGTGGTATAATAGGGCTCTCTCATAATCGGCTCTACCAGATAATAACATTGCTGCTAAAGAGGCTGTCTAGAATTGAA